TGGTTGGATTTTGAAATCGAAGAAGTTCAATTCTTTCTTGTCCTCTCATACCATATTTATAAAATGATTGCTTTTTAGATTGCTCGGCTAAATTCAAGCTATCCTGGGGGTTTAGCAGCATACATTAAGACTGCGAAAGAGCTCCTTGCGGATTCTAAAGCAGGGAAGAACCCGTACGATGGCTTCTCTCCTTCTGTAAGTAACATAAATCATTTTGTTATCAATTTTATTGTTGTGATGTGTGTCTAGTGTTTTTCACAAAGGGTCCATGTGGTCTTGCAGGTCCCTTCAGGTGAAAATCTTACTTTTGGCGATGATAACTTCATCGAAATGGAGAAAAGAGGTGTCGCTGAAGCTAGGAAAGCTGCTTTTGTTCTTGTTGCTGGTGGCCTTGGCGAACGTCTTGGTTATAATGGAATCAAGGTAACTAGTAGCATGGTTTCATTTACTCAATCACCATCCATAGATCCTAGAATGTATAAGGTTTGACTTGAGAGGACACAATATGGTGGGTGTGAAAATGATGTACATAATCCTTTGTCATTGAATCAATCCACACTTTCTGAGCTCGAGTATCATATGCATAAACATTTACTTGCCGTTTATGAATCAATTTCTTAGGTGGCACTTCCAAGGGAGACAACTACAGGGACATGCTTCTTGCAGCACTACATTGAATCTATATTGGCTCTTCAAGAAGCTAGCCACAAGATCGCTTCTGGTGTGTGTTCTAACTTTTTTTTTACGCAATGCTACATGTTACACATACTCATTTTCCTCGCTTCAAGATATTTGGCATCTTACAATCGACATAAGTCAACAAAAATTACGTTTTTATATATCACAACACTAATCGTACTTGTACATTTGCAGATGGAAGTCAGAGAGATATTCCATTCGTTATCATGACATCTGATGATACCCATTCACGTACACAAGAGCTGCTAGAGTTAAACTTTTATTTTGGTATGAAATCTAGTCAAGTGCATCTTCTAAAACAGGTAAATGATCAGCTACTTCTTGATATAGTTTCTTAAAGCGTAAAATGTCTTGAAAGACAATCCACAACTACCTTTTTTATAGGAAAAAGTCGCATGTCTTGATGATAATGATGCTAGGCTTGCATTAGACCCTCACAACAAATACATGATCCAGGTACCATATCACTATGTGTCTAGGGATGTTTCCAAAGCTCAATATTTGTAAGCTGACTATCATTTTTTTCTCTATTCATAGACAAAACCACATGGACATGGTGATGTACATTCGCTTCTTTATTCCAGTGGTCTTCTTGATAAATGGTATTTCTTCGATCATATATTTTCTTGCATATATATCACATTTTATATGCTTGATTTCACCTTTTGTTGTTGTTGTTGCAATTTCAGGCTTGACGCTGGTTTGAAATGGGTTTTGTTTTTCCAAGATACAAATGGACTTCTCTTCAATGTTAGTAGCAATAACTTAGCTCTTATGTGTTAAGTATTCATACAATTCTATTGGAAATTCACAATTCGTTAGTCCAGGCAATTCCAGCTTCTTTGGGTGTGAGTGCTACCAAACAGTATCATGTTAACTCTCTTGCTGTTCCCCGCAAGGCGAAAGAAGCTATTGGAGGAATTACTAAGCTTACCCACGCTGATGGTAANTAACAAGAATCCAAAGTTTGTATACATTGTGCGTATTTCCGTTTGATGATCAAGAGGTCTGATTCAAATGGTTTCCAGGCAGATCTATGGTGATCAATGTGGAGTACAATCAACTTGATCCTCTACTTAGAGCAACTGGTTTCCCCGATGGGGATGTTAATTGTGAGACAGGCTATTCCCCTTTCCCGGGAAATATTAATCAAGTGAGTTGTCCTCTACTCTATGAGCTCAGATTTAGAAAATTTCGAGACTCAATATTTTGTTTGTGTTTGTTCAATGCAGTTGATTATGGAACTTGGTCCATACAAAGAGGAGTTGCAAAAAACTGGAGGGGCCATTAAGGAGTTTGTTAATCCAAAGTGATTCTTCTGTTCTTTTTGCTCTCCCCTTCTTAAAGCTATCGTTATCTTCAGTGATTCTCATTTGAATTTAATGATTATTAGTAGTTCTGTACAGAAACTCTGATTCCATGCTTTGACATCTACTTTTTGGATTATATAATAGATACAAGGATAGCACCAAAACATCATTTAAATCTTCAACTCGTCTAGAGTGTATGATGCAAGATTATCCAAAGACACTGCCGCCAACTGCACGGGTTGGATTCACGGTAATTGCTATCTGTAGAGAGTAAAACCACACTTTAACTATGCATGCCTGTTGTGACAATGTTTCCTCATGTAGGTGATGGATATATGGCTTGCTTATGCACCTGTCAAGAATAATCCCGAGGATGCTGCTAAGGTTAAAATACTTAAATGATTGTTCATTTCTTAAGTTGGTAAGGTTCGTCTGACTAATCAACTAGTTGTACTCTTTTCCCTCTGCTGAATATGAATGAAGGTACCAAAGGGGAACCCGTATCACAGTGCAACTTCTGGAGAAATGGCGATTTATCGTGCCAACAGTCTTATTCTTCAAAAGGTAATTGTATTGATCTCTGTTTTACTACACATGCCTCTACGCAAACATTGATTCTAGTGTATATATATCCTTAAATAGTCGGTTAGAGCAAAACAAGTCTTGTTTATTGTCTAAAGCAGCATCTTTTGTATTTGGTTCTACTAATCCCCAGGCTGGTGTCAAAGTAGAAGAGCCTGTGAAGCAGGTCTTGAACGGCCAAGAAGTTGAAGTTTGGTCTCGTATCACATGGAAACCAAAATGGGGAATGATCTTCTCTGATATCAAAACGAAAGTCAGCGGGAACTGCGAGGTCTCTCAGAGATCCACGATGGCAATTATGGGTCGCAACGTGTTTATCGAAGATCTCTCCTTGGACGGTGCTCTTATTGTCGATTCCATTGATGATGCAGAGGTATGTAGTCCAATTTTATCTCTTGGAATATCATATTAAACAAATAAAGAGACTTATGTGACATGTGAAAAACAGGTTATACTGGGAGGTGTGATCAAGAACAATGGTTGGACTATGGAAAATGTAGATTACAAAGACACATCGGTTCCAGAGGAAATCAGAATCAGAGGTTTTAGATTCAATAAAGTGGAGCAACTCGAAAAGAAGTTTACTCAACCTGGAAAATATTCTGTGGAAGATTAAGAAGTTAGCAATATAACAATCTGGAAATGTCGAATGATCCAGTTTGTCCTTACTGATGCACCTTAATTCATTTTTTTTAATGTTTGATTATATTCTTCTTTCATTAAATATTTGATTTTCGGTGTTACATATGTGAGTTTTTAAGAAATTTTTTGCGTTTAAGAAGATTTTTAAGAAAAGAATTTTATGTTTTTTTATATATATATAATTTTGGCCAATAGAAAGATTATGGTTATTTTCTGCGTTTACAAACAAGCCTTACGTACAATAACTAGTGCATAAACTAAAACACAAAATGAAACATGATTGAAAGAGATTAGAAAAATATTTACTACATTAGACAAAGTTATCAAAGATCCAACAACAAGCTCATCACCAAAATTATAGACCTAAAAATGTTACTACAAGAAAACTGTGAAATAGCCACCAGTTTTTTTTGTGGTTAAAATCCCAAAATCAGTGGCTAAAATAAAATTAGTTTTTTAACCACCAAAAATTTATGTTGCATATCGATGGAAAGTAAATCATTTTGGTCGTCAAACAATAGCTAAATAGCTTAGCTACCAATTAGCAACAAATAATTCAGTGGTATTTAGCGACGAATATAGCCACTAAAATGTTGTGGCACTGTGGCTACGGATTTAGCGACCGAAATAGCTACCGCTTAGCCACTTAAACATTAGTGGTTAATAGCAGCCGATTTAGTCACTATGTGTCTGTAGTGATTTGGCTACGGATTTGTTAACCGATATATTAATAGCTATTATGGGGTCGATTGGTTCATCTGCTACCATCCGCAAACGCTGTATTTGTGGATGGTAGCGGTTGTTGGCATTTGACAACAATCATGGAAACGCTTTCCCGTTATGTGTCGCTCCAAACCTCTCAAATCCAAAAGTTACTTCCCTCGA